AATCGAGCAGTTCCAAAATCGGCAATCTTAACACGTATTGGATCCTCCTGGTGGTATCTTAGGTTCAACCATGTAAGATACGGAATAGGTCCACTCACGACCCACACGGGCTGCTCTAGTAAGAGATTCAACGACTTGATATCCCTATGAATAACCTATCAAAAAAGGCGGAGCGAAGCGAAATTCCGTCACGCGCCACAAAATTATCCCCACCGGTGGTCGCGCTGAATGCATAAAATATATACCTTTCGCGATGTCCAACATCATGACCTGATGAACGCAGCAATAACATGATCAAATCGATCAGCTGATCGATTTCCTCAACACAGAGATTCATTCACGTCTTATTTCACATGTTACAAAAACGGACATGATCCGTATCTTCCAATGAGCAACCTAAGATACGCTCTCAAAATCCGCTTCGCTCCGCCCACCGCTCGCTGTTTCCAACTCAGCTGAACTCCTCTTCTCACATGAAGTAAATCATATAAACACCCGCCAGAACTAAATCGATCACGTGATCGATTATCTCACTTTTTCCCTTACCAAAATTCCGTGAGTATTCTCAACGGCTTCAACCTAGTCTGCGCTCCAACCAGCAAAACAATATTAGGATGCCGCAAAGTCAACATAACCTAAAAAATCCAAAATTTTTCGAAAATTTCAAGAAAAAAAATGCTTCCCAATTTTTTTTCAGAAAATCTGAAAATTTTCGGCCGTACTTCTTTACAGATTTTAGGAAAATCTCTATTTTTCCGTAAATTTTCCCCAAAATCCTCGCGAAATACCAAATGTCGAATTCTCCATAATTCCAATCTCCATAACCATTATAATAATCGGCTTAATACAAAGTGCAGAATGCAAAATACACAAAAAATAATTTTCTCGTAAAATTATACAAATTTTTTCACTTCCAAAAAATCAATATTTACACTGGATTTCACTCCGCAACGTAAAACCATATTTAAATTCTGCGGAAAACCATCCCACAGAATTCGTCAAACGCGAAAAACTCTCATAAAAGTCAATTTTTTACCGAAAATCGTTCGTTGTGAACCTCTCAAAAAAATCGAAAATTATCAATAACGAATGAAAAGCAGAAAATCACGAAAAATCCACAAAATACAAAAATCTCGCTTCTGAAAATTATACAGTACCCCCAACCCTAGCAGTGATAAAAAAATACCGAAAAATGCCCTCACCCGGGATCGAACCCGAGACCTCTTCTCAGCCCACTCATAAGCTCACCACGCTGATTCCCTCCTTACCTACCTATGAATTTTTTT